GCTCTGCCTTTGTCTGCATAATTTAGCAACCTCAACCCTAACACCTCCTTCCATGAAGTTATCTTGACCTACTTGTAAAGGCCTATACTCACTACTGTATTGACTGATTAGGAATTTAACACATCTTTTGAACTTGTGCTAGTATTTTTATTAGTACTATTAGTGCATTGGTTACAAAGCTGCATAGGTTCTGAGTAGCCTGCTTCAACCCCATTTTTCTCATAAACTGTAATTTTTAAGTTCATAATTTTACAAAACATAACCTTTTCAAGAATGCATATATCTCATGGTCACAGAAATGCCTGTACTCAAAAGTATTGGGTGAACTGAATTACTGAGTAGCCAATGCCCATCAGGTATGATACATTCATTCATTCAACAAATATTTACTGAATATCAAAGTAAATAGGGCACCGCTCTAGGCACTGGAGACACAATGACGCAGTGTCATTGTGCCACACAATGGGCACAGTATAATTGTGTATGTTTGTGGTATGTGTATGCAGGCATGCACACACACCAGCGTGTGTGTGTATTATATTCAACTAAACAACCTTGAATTACATATTATTGCTAAAGGTACATTCTAATCTCTATACCAGCAGTTTCCAAACCTTTTCAGAGGAATCACTTTTTGTTTCCTAACAAAAATCTTAAACAGAAACACAATACCCAGATAAAAGCAGAATCCTGCACATCCAGCATGCCCTGTCCCTGAGGTATCTCCAGGATACCTGAGGTTTGTGAGGCTGTGATGTAAAAACCACGGATTAGCAAAAATACCCCATCTTTACATGACCGTTAATAAATGTGTCATGTGTATTGAGAAAATCAATTAGGTCACTATAAAGCATCTAGGGGAGGTTTCATTCGAGGCCCAAGGCTCATTTCTCTCTCTTCCCATGTAGCTGTGTTAGTAGGAGCCTTAAGACTACTCCTCCCACATACTACTCCCCTAGGAGGTGATGTGAAAGACTGGGGTTTGGAGAAAAAGAAGCATATGGTTTGTCATTTAGGCCAACTCTTCGGTGACTCGGGGAAATCTCACCATCATAATGGCAAAATCTTAGGGGGTGGAAATTAAGGTGAAAGCCCAGGGGAAAAAAAAAGATTTAAGAGGCTACCCAACTTGGAAAGGCCTTAGCTCACAAAATAAAACAAAACAAAACATGCTCACAGATGACAAAAGATCTCACCAGACTTCCTAGGATCAGAAACAAAACTGGGTTTAAGGACAGAGTCCCGATAGATTTGGGATACATTAATAAACAAAATAGACAAAGAACCCCTGCTCTCTGAGGCTGACACTCTCAGAGGCAGGAGAGAGAAAGGAGACCAACATACTGAATAAGTCAATTATACGGTATCTTGGAAGATGACACATGATACGGGAAAAAGAAAATGTGACGCTAAGAGAGACAGGAGTGTCAAAAAACCAAGGTAAGAGCGGGGAGAGAGGAGTGTGATCTGTGATTTGAACTACAATAGTGAGGGTGGGCCTCATGGAGGGTCCATAACAACATCTGAGGTCCTGCAGTCGTGGAACAGCAACGAGTCCAGCTGGGATAGAGCACCGTGAGTGAGACAGACCAGGGGCACACGACAGGAACAGAAGAGGCCGGAGGGGAGGACAGGTCATGGAGAGGCTTACAGGTCTTTGTAACGACTTTAGCTTTTACTCTGAGCCACCACAGGGCAGGGAGCAAATCTGATTTATATTTTAAACAGATCATTCTGCTAAGTGAAGTCCAGAATGCAGCAGAGCACAAGCAGACACAGCGAGACCATGAGGCAGCTGCTGCAGTTACCCAGGCAAGGGATGGGAGCTGAACCAGGGTGGAAGCACCACGGGTGGTAACAAGTGGTCAAGTCCTTCTTCCTTCGTTCAAGCACAATGGGTTAAGTGGTTCCACTCAACTTATCGCATATCCAAAATCTAAAATATACTAGGAGCAACAGACCCTTCAATGGGTCTCTAATTCCTTTAGTAATGCCTCCATACTGCAGAGATTTCATACACAGGCATGCCTTGTTTGATTGCGCTCTTTATTGCACTTCAGAGATATCAAACCAGCCACCATGTTCCCTTAAGCCTAATCTAGAGTAAGACCCTAACCCTCTTCAGTGCTGTGAAGACTGAGGTGAGGAAGCTGCAGAAGGAAAGTCAGAAGCTAACAGAGGTTGGTTCATGAGGTTTAAGAAAAGAAGCTGTCTTCATAACAGAAAAGTACAAGGTGAAGCAGCAAGTGCTGATGTCGAAGCTGCAGCAAGTTCTCCAGAAGGTAAGTAACAAAGGTGGCTACACTCAACAACAGATATTCAATGTAGACAAAACAGCCTTATATTGGAAGATGCCATCTGGGACTTTCGCAGCTAGAGAAGAGAAATCAATGCCTGGTTTCAAAGCTCCAAAGAACAGGCTGACTCTTTTGTTAGGGACTAATGAAGGTGGTGACTTTCAGTTGAAGGCAATGTTCGTTTACCATTATGAAAATCCTAGGACCCTGAAGAATGATGCTAAATCTACCATGCCTGTACTCTATAAAGGGAACAACAAAGCCTTGATGACAACACATCTGTTTACAACATAGTTTACTGAATATTTTAAGCCCACTGTTGAGACCTGGGGAAAAAAAAAAAGATTCCTTTCAAAATATTACTGCTCACTAGCAATGCACCTGGTCACCCAAGAGCTCTGATGGAGACATACGAGATTAATGTTGTTTGCATGCCTGCTAACACAACATCCATTTGACGGCCATGAATCAAGGAATAATTCTACTTTCAAGTTTTATTATTTAAGAAATACATTTTATAAGGCTATAGCTGCCATAGATAGTGATTCCTCTGATCGATCTGGGGAAGTAAATTAAAAACCTTCTGGAAAGGATTCACTACTCTAAATGCCATTAGGAACATGCGTGATTCATGGGAAGAGGGCAAGATATCAACAGTCACAAGAGTGTGGAAGAAGATGATTCCAACCCTCATGGATGACGTTGAGGGATTCAAGGTTTTAGTGGAGAAGGTGACTGCAGATGTGGTGTAAACAGCAAGAGAACTAGAATGAGATGTGGAGCATGAAGATGGGACTGAATTGTTACAATTTCAGGATCAAACTTGAACAGATGAGGAGTCGTCTCTTACGGATGACCAAAAGAAACTGGTTTCCTGAGATGGAATCTACTCTTGGTAAAAACGCTAAGATTGTTGAAATGACAACGAAGGATTTAGAATATTACATAAAACCTGGTTTTGCAATTATGAAAAAAGTTCTCCTTTATTTAAAATGCTATCAAATAGCATTGCATGCCACAGAGAAACTGTTCATGAAATGAAGAGTCAATCAATGTGGCAAACCTCACTGTTGTATTTTAAGAACTTGCCATAGCCACCCCAGCCTTCAGCAAGCAGCACACTGCTCAGCCAGCAGCCACCAACACTGAGGCAAGACCTCCACCTGCAGAAAAATTACAACTTGCTGAAAGCTCAGAGGATGATTAGCACTTTTTAGCAATAAAGTATTTTACAAATGCATACAAAGGTATGTACATTGTTTTATTTTTTTAAAAAAAGATTTTATTTATTTATTCATGAGAGACAGAGAGAGAGAGAAAGGCAGAGGCAGAGGGAGGAGCAGGCTCCCCGCGGAGCAGGGAGCCCAATGCGGGACTTGATCCCAGGACGCTGGGATCATGACCTGAGCCGAAGGCAGACGCTCAACCGACTGAGCCACCCAGGCGTCCCAAGTACATTGTTTTTTTAGATGTAATACTATCACACACTTCATAGAATACAGTATAGCATAAACATAACTTTTATACACATCCGGAAACCAAAAAATTCATTTGACTCACTTTACTGCAAGTATTTGGCTTATTGTGGTGGTATGTACAATATATCTAAGGCATACCTGTAAGCAGATTAAGTTTTTCTGAGTTTTCCACCTTTCTAGCAATTTCTCCCCCATGAAATTTATATTCTTTCATTCCTAGTACTACCCAAATTCCTATTACCTAAAAATGGTATGGGGCAGGGAAACGGAGAGAGAGATTTTTAACTGTATATATCTTTCATTTAAGTCAGTGATATTTTTTCCTTCTTTTTCTTCTTCCCAGTGTATTTTAACAGATGCCTCTTTTAAAAAGTGAAAACAAAAATGTAAGCAAACTATAAACCTTCTTGTACGCTAATAAAAATATTGAGCATTGATGGGTAGCCTTCTCTATTTTCCCATTTCCAAATGTTACTACAGCCAGTCTAGTAAACTTTATTATGTCTTTATCCTCCTATGCAGTAGTCTGTCCCACCTTCCTCCTCCTTTCCTTTCATTATTCAAACTTGCAGAGGAAAATATATACAATGTAAATGTTTGGTAAAAGAATAGAAACACATGGACTTCCTTTTTTTTTTTTTTTTAATTTTAGTAGCTTTCTAGTATTAGGGATCAAGTTGAGGTTTAAGTCATACACTTTTCCTGCCTTAAACAATTACTGTCCCTGAGACAGCCTGAAGATCTAAGGGCAGAAAAGTAGTAAAATATAAATCACAGAACTTTATCATGCAACTCTTAGAAGACTTCGTAATTTATTTCAGGAAAAGCTTAAAAGTTCTGTGCCTTCTGAAGACTTTAGGAACTGTTCTCAGTAACTAAAATAACAACTTTGGGATCCCTGTTTATTAGATAAACCTCTTAGAATAATGTCACTTAACAGCTGAAGCAATACTCCACAACTTTAAGCTCTCAGACATGCATGATCTTATTTATTCTAGTATAAGGTATCAAATTATCTGAAAACAGGCTGACGCTTAATGAATGGTAAGATAAAAATCATTTTTCCAAAATCAAAAGTGGAAAAATTATTTACTAAAATATAAATATCCTCACAGAAAATGTTATTTTGATTTTTTTCATAAAATCATTTGCAGTTAGGGAGTTAACAATGGTTAAGCAGGTCAGAAGAGCAGGTGAAGGATTCAGTTCACTAAAATAGTCTTACCTTCTGATGTTTTCCACCGTTTCCATAAATCCTCAACAGTTATATGCTTATCTTCTCTGTGCAGATGGCTGTGTTTATTAGTAGCATCTTTGTATTTCATATCTTCTCTGATAAACTATAAAAGAGAAAACATTAAGTAAATTTAAATTCCCTATTTTATAATCTCTGTACACTCAGAAACAAAATTTTGAAATCCAGTAGGTGGCAATTTTCAGATAACAACTGGTATATTTTTGGTATTTTATACTCACATTATTCTTACATTTTTGTAAAATTTATTTAATAAAATGTCTTCTACTACTAATAACAACAACAAAAGTACTTACTTAATGCTCATTATTTACCAGGTACTATCCTACATTATAGTATGTCTATTCACTCTCACACACACACACACACACACTCATTTAACTTCATGATAATACTATATTATGTATCCCCATTTTATAGATGAGAAAACCAAGACCCAAAGAGTAAAATAATTTGCCCAAGGTTGAAAAAATAACAAACAGCAAAGTATATTATGCTCAACAGCATGATATATTTTATATATATATATTATATACATAGTGCCTTTTTACCAAACACTTATTGACAGGGGTGTTTCAAAACACAATTAATACTAATCTCAATTACTGCCTCATATTTCTGTGTTCTCCTATATGTGAAGCTATTACTTACAGTTGAGAGGCATCTGACTGCAGTGTTCAGAACTAAAGCATTTTATAAAACTGAAGTAGATCTCGATTAATCTTACTTTAAAATACAGAGAGAAAATGCACTAATATTTTCTTTGCTAAAAACTAACCTGCTCTGTATTTGTTACAGAAAATCCTTCAGTTGCTCCCCGCTATCTCCCAAATAAAAAGTCGTTTGCTTTTTATTTGGGAGAAGGAGAAGCAAACTCCTTTTATGGCTTACATATCATTTTCCAATCCTATCCCCGACAATCTTTTCAGCCTGATCTTTTGACATTTTTCCCATATAAACGCATTACTCTAATTATACAAAAGAAATAGTTTTTTAAATTATTATGCTTTTTCTATCTCATTTCTGATTTTTCCTGTTTTGGTATTATTTTACTTGATATCTTTATTTTTTCAAAAATACAAGATCATACAAAAGATTATTTCAGATATCCATAACGCAGAAAGTGAATATCCCCTATAGCTACCAAGGCATATTTTTCTGACTTTTATATACTGACAATGAACATCATTTTCAGACAAAGGCCAAATTTTGCTTTTGTGTCATTTTCTGCTAAAACTAAAAAAGAAATTTTTAACCTAATATTGAGAAATCATTTCACTTTCCTGAGATTTAATAACCTCAGCTACAAAATGAAGAAACATTTTAGGATCAACACTACTCAACATGTCATGAGACTGGTGTTGGTCAGGAAACTTGATACCTGCCTATAATACGTATAGAAACGGAGAGAAGCCATTTAGAAACCTTTATAGTAATGAGACATTTTCAAAGAATCTGACCCAAGCATGTGATAAATGTACTTATCGTGTGGGCCCCATCTATGATGAACTGAAAATGAAAAATCTGGTCCTTCACCATAGATACTTTGAAAAGCAATTACCTAGGTCTATTCTAGTGCTTACGAATTTTGATGTTCTAACTAGTGCCGCACTCTGTTTTTCTAAGTACCCTTTTTAAAAGTTATTTTTAAAGGGACCTGCCTCATTGCTCCAACTCCTATTTCATATTTGTCTAATTTACTATTTCTGCCAATTCCTCATTGTTCTTCCTGATACCTTCAGAATGCAGTAGATATACCTGGAAAAATCACTGTCACTGAGATGTTCAGAAACTGCCCCTAGCTTGGAAAAGGTTCAAGAGCTAGAGAGAAATTCTAGAATGAAAAGCATGATGACAAAAAAAGCAGGGAGGAAGCCTGCCTTGGAAATGGTCCAGTCAGTTGGAACAAATGGCAACTGTTTCATATATGTGATACATGAGGGGGAAAAAAGTCCTAGGAAATTCTCTTCACCCCATGAACACAAAGAAGCTAAAAGTAGAGTTCTGTGGCTTTAGGATCAATGTATTTCAGAAAATAGAGCTAATTTCCATATATAGACTAGATGAGGCATTCTAGCTACTGAACTATTTTAGTAAGCCTAGGATGAGTATATAGATATCTGCCAAAATATGTGAACAAAATCAAAGAATTAAGATATCAGAAAAAGGTAATTCAAAAAAAAAAAGCTCAGGAAGATTATAGTTCACTTAATGTAAAAGAATTATCTGGCTCCTTTAATTAAAAAAAAAAAAAAGAATTATCTGGCTCCCAAAAATGTTGGGTCAAAACTGACTAAACGCACAGAATTGTATTTTCCCTGAAATTATCATTTAAAAATTAATACATGCTTCTGTTTTAAAACATGACCCCAAGATAACACAATTCATTACAAACCACATTGAAGTGTATTCTGTATCTCCTACATCTTCAACATTTTGATCACAAATGTGACTAGAAAGCACTAGAATTACTTTATGTTGAAACTAAGCTGGAAAAATTTTAACTGAACCAAATGCACTAAAACTCATCAGCTTCCATTAAACCCTCTCTCCAGTATGTTTCCTACAGATCATTTTGACTGTTCAGACTTTCCTAAAACTTCAAAGAAAACTGAAAATTATAGAACTGAGGCAAGACTAATAGAGAAATTTTAAAAGCAGTCACCAACAATTGAAAATGCATGAGAAAATGACAAATACTTCTTACTTGTTGAAATCTGTGAATTAAATCGGAAAAATACAATCTGAAATTCTATAAGGTAAATCTTCAAATAATGTACTGCAAATAACGTGGTAAACATGTCCAATTATGTACCTAATTATACCTACTATAGGAAAGGCTGAATTGATAATACAAATATAGAAGTACTCAAATAAATGACTACTGAATATTCTTCTCAAAAACCTTCACGCAGATGATTCTTTTAAATACATTCTTCTAAAACCATTATGGAATCTACATATCCAGTTCAGGAAGTTAGCTTTTAGATGATAAGCTGATTTCAGTTCCCTGTATCTCTAACATATATATTATTTGCATTTTGTATTTATACTTTATATTTTTGATGCTATGTATTTTTTCTTTTATTTTTATATTTGCATTTATATTTTGTACTTGCGTTATTTTTATGACAGTGCTTAATAAAATCTGATACATGCTAGTACAGACACATTTGAGGGCTCTTTTCAGCCTATACCTCCTACCCTACCAACATAAGGGTAGATCTCTGAATGTGTTCAGTCATCCCTCCCCAACCTATCACCCATTGCCACAGCTATGTGACTAAAGGATGGACACTTGACCCAGAAGAAAACAATCCAGAATATGACCAGGATGAAAGGATTCTATTTCACCAGGAAATGCAATGCAGACCATGAAAGGCTGGGTCACTTGGTGATAGCTCTGGATTTTTAAGGTAATAAGGAAACTGGTGTTGAAGGTACCATTTTATGACCAGACAAGATAAACCATGTACAGAGGAAGCTAAAACATAGAGAAAGAAAATAATGAAAGAGAACAGAGAGAAAAAGAAATGGCACCAGAAACTATCTCGATTCTTGAGGACTCCCATTTCAGTTCCTCAGGAGGCCTGGGGCACACAATTCTTGTCCTGATTTCCATGACATAACAATGATACATAGGTATTTCCCCTTTTATTTTTTAAATATACAATTTCAAGATCTCAATAGCCAAGGAGAGGTGATTTATCATGACGGTTAAGCACTCAGACTCTGGAGTGTGACAGACTATATTCAAAATCTGATTCTACTACTTGTATTCTTTTTAGCCTCATATTTCTCCTTTGTACAGTGAGGAAAATAAAATTACCCACTACATGTGGTTATGAAAAAGATTAAATTAAAAATTCATACTTAGTACATAGAAGTGTTAGACAATAAAAATAATTTGAGTTGTTATTGCTGTTGAAGTTTAAAGCCTGAATAAATTAGTTTCACCCTGACTAGACTGGTAGGTTAATATACATCTTGGAAAACATCAGACATTTATAAAGCTACAATTTCCCAATACTCTTAGAACTACCATTTAAGACATTCTGAAACAAAATACATAACACAGAAATGAAGAGGAGAACCACAACCTTTTCACTATGTAAGCAGAGATTTTCCCAAAGGACATCTGTCATCAAAACAACAGTGTCCAAGGTCTGATAGGTGAGTCAGTTAAAGCAAATGCGTTCCTGGAAAAAAACTGCAGGGTCTTCCTGTCTTGAAAATAATACTAAAATAGCTTAGTATAATGTCTCAAGGGAAAGAATGCATAACCAGAAAGGACTACTGTTAGCCACACTTGTACAGATGAAAATGGAGGGTTGACAATTGATTCGATTTGATAGCGTTATTTAAGGAAACAAATACTGGAAGTAAATTTTACAGAATTCCAAAGTTTGTCCTTCACCACTATTCACACCGCTATCTTAACGTGGATGTTCTAAAAATGCACTGATTCCCAAATTCTTAGAAATGATACCATGCTAATAAAGCATGAGTTGCCCATGTTTCTCCATCCCAAAACTAATCTTATGACAGTGGTGGAAAGCACAGATTCAATCTTCAGACCGTGAATATCTCAAATGTACTATTTGCTATATGACCTTAGTAAGCTACTTTCCCCCCCCCGTGCTTCAGTTTTCTCATGAGCAAAATGGTAATAATAGTCATATATCAAAAGTGACTTTATTGCACATTAAATGTTAAAAACAGTGCTTGGTATATAGTAAACACTCAACAATGTCAGCTATTTCATGTAAATCATTTGTTTTTTAAAATAACGAGTTAAATCTTTGCCTTGATATGCACACTCTATATCATTTCTTGAAGTGGCAGAAGATAAACTGAGGTACTAAAGAACACCACTGATAATCACTGATCTGAGTGTAGTAATATCAAATCTTGCTTGATACCTGCCACACAAAATGCTGTTAACAATGCAGAGACACGGGCTACTACTAAGATATTTGTCTTAATAAGTTTGATCTTATCATCTAAGATGGATGATGACACCTACACAAAAACGTAAGAGAACACAGGCAAACTGGAATATGTTTTCATGGAATTAAGAATGAA